CTTGCTACCGTTGTCGTCGTCCACAGACCCCGTGTAAGGCGGGAAGCGAGGAAGATGACCTGGGTGATCCGGCTCGCCCTCCTCCGGAGGGCTTGCCTGCTCCTAGAAACGGGCGTGTTACACCGGCCTTGATGTTCTTTCCGAAGGTGTTACCGCCCTTCCTGAGGTACAGCCCCGGTTGGTAATGCCGTCTCCCAATGTTGGTGCTCCCACGCTGCAAACGTGGCTGGCATCCCATTCGACGGTGCTGTCGCAGGGATACTTGCTTTGGCTCATCGAGGCGCAGCCTTCAGACTGGCTGACTCTCCTGTCGCAAGTGGGGACTTTGCTTACGCATTCTCCGCATTGTTGTGGTGTGGTGTTTCCGCCCCAGCAACTTGTGTCTTTGCGCAGTTTGGTGGGGTGCGACGTGAGACTTTTTGTCCAGCGCCTGGCCTCTTCGTCGGTCTGGTGGGGTATTCCCAGTGGTGAGGATTTCCACCAATTGGCCACCACAGGGGCGCCACCTGCCGTTTCCGCGCTGGAGTTGGCAACCCGCTGGTTGCATTGCTTGGCCAATGATTCTGTCGACCCCCTTTCTGTGAGGGCCGACTCCCTCCCACCCTCCCGGGGGGGGCGGGACGGTCCCAAAACTCGCTGACGAAGGAAGCGAAGGAGTTGTTGAGAGGGCGGGAGGGACATCTTATGACAAGGCAGCGGAATACCTGGAACATTGCCAGTCTTCTTTGTCGGTCGATAAAGCCATGGAGGCCGGTAGGTTGGGAGCGGAGCTGGTGTTAGCAGCTGGCACTGTAAAGGAGGCCGTTGAGGCTTTAAATTCGGTCCGGGCTGCTACACTAGGTGACCACCTTGCAGGTGCAAGACACGGCTTGTTCAAAGGCGTGTCCGCCCTTCACCAGGAGTACCTCCGGCAAAGCGCCCAGGAGGGAGTGCCGAGCCGGGAAGAAGCCAAGAACCATGGGTCGGTGTAGTCGAGTGCCGGAGAGCCCTCTGGGCCGTGTGCCCAAACAGAACCCTGACCGGACTATTTCCGCGGAGGGCAGGCCCATCAACGACATGAGGAAGCAGAACGAGGCCGGCTCCAAGTTCAACCACCCCCCGGCCCCTCAACCCAGACACCACGCGGTGGCGAGGCAATCGTTGTGGTGGAGGGCAAGACACCCCGGTATCCCGCAGAGGTGTGCCAAACGACACGTGCCACGTGCGTTTAAGTGGCATTTCCTTCGCCCACAGGACGTTCCTGAGTTTGCCGTTCGGTTGGCTGGATTATAATCATACACAGCCTGGCCATGCCCTTTGGATGGGTAGGCTCCCCCGGGGAGTTTGTCGCCTGGAGTGCCGCCGCAAAGGCGCATCACGGGTCGTTCCGCCCTGAAGATCCCCGCTTCAACGACGTGGTTCCGTACGAGTCCAAGTGGTTGATGGATGACGGGGTGGTGGTCGAGCCGTTGTTGGAACCCGGGTCTTCGACTCTTTGGAGGTTCTTGACGAAACCATGAAACTTGTTTGGGGCCCCGAAGGGGTGAATGTGGAGAAGATGGCAGAGGAGGGGGAACCCTCAGCGACTCAGCTGTTGTGGGGGCTCCACATGGATTTCGAGCAGCATCAGGTAAGACTCCCGGAGCCCAAAAGAATGAAAGCCAAGTGCTTGCTCGGTGAGCCAGCGTTGCAGAGGGGTTGTAAGGATGTCCCGCTTGGCCTGCTGCAGGAGGTTATTGGATGCGCCCAGTACTGGACGGTAGCGTGCCCTGCGCTCACCCCACATCTCCCGTCTTTGTACTGCCTCCTGAAAGGTAACCTCCAAGGGCAGGGTCGGAAGGAAGTTAAAGGGAAGTCACAAACGTTGCTTAAGGTGGAAGCTGACGATCCTGAAGAGGAAGCCCTCAGGTGGGAAAACTTTTGGGACGCCCTTGACTTCATTAGACTTCAGCTTGAAGCTCCGTTGCAGTCCAGTTTCGCCTCTGTGTTTGAGAAGCTTTTGCCCATCCGCGAGAGACTCGCTCTTCCAGGTGCTACCGCCCGAACGCGGATCACAGGGGGGGACGCTACTCTGGGCAGGTTTGGCGCGGTTGATTGGAAGGCCAAGGTCTTCCACGCGTCCTCGGTGGATAAATTCCAGGATGCTTTGCGCGCTGTGGCCTCCTCGGAGGACGAGGCTGACATCATCTCCATCATGGAGCTACTCGCCTTCGTGGTCCTAGCATGCCACCGAAAACAGCATTGGGATGGTGAAATTGTCCTTTATACGAATGTGCGTAGTTGGCTCTACAAGCGCCGCCCAGGTAATAGGGTGGCAAGTCTGCTTATCAGGCTAGTCCAGCGCTTAGAGTGTGAGCACAATTTCACTGTCCATCCTATATATATCCGGAAGTATCGGAATCAGCTTGCTGACTGGTTGAGTCGGGAAGATCTGGGAGTGGTTCGAAAGCAGCTTGTGGCTGACGGCTGGGATGAGACCCCAGGAAAGATCAAGTGGGAGGAGTTCCTCCAAGATGCCAAGCGCTCCGCTCTGGTCTTGCCACTGGGATTGGACCCAAGCGCGCAAAAGGCTCGTCAGCTCACTCACTGTCCCGACTTCCCGAAGCTCACCAGCTGTGCCATCGCCCTCCGGTTATTTCGCGCCTGGGAGACGGGAAGCCACGGCAATGCCTGGTTTACCTTCTCTCAGGACCCGCAGAAGGCACGCTTTTGGGCCCGCCTTAAGGAGAGCAAGAGTCGCCTCGGCAAGCTGGCGGTCGACTGCCCAAGGCAGTTTGATGTGTCGTCTCTGATTGCTGGCATACAGGAGATCCTCCCTAATCTTAGGACGGTGTCGTACGTCAGCTCCCATTTGGGCGCCTTTAGTGCCCGACGAAGGACACTTCTGCGAGGTTGGGCTGATCAGGTGTCTCCGGCAGGGATAGAACAGCATCGGGTTCACCCACCCCCTGCCATGCAGCTGATGCCGTTGGACGCTGAGGCCAAGACCGCTTCCTTGCACTTAGGGGGTGTGGTGACTCAGGAGCCTGGCATCGTCACATCCGGGGATCCCTGGCTCCCGCACCCCTGCGGACATGTTAAGGGGCCCGGCTTCCCGGCTAAGTGCTTGGTTCACCACACGTCAAGGCCCGCTTGTGCCTTTTTGGGCCCCACGCGGGACCTAAAGGGTCCCGGGGGCCACTTTGATCCCCAGCATATCCGGGGGAGTCCGGCCCTTAAGTCCCGGCGAGATAGCCAAAGCACAAGGAGTCACCTCCCAGGAGTGGACGGCCCTTGTTAAGGCTGAGGGACCGGAGAAGGCTCTTCGCCGCATCGTCCCGGAACCGGGCTGGCAAGTCGCTGCCGCATGCTGGGCTTGTGGCAAACCCCCGCTGACAAAGTCGGGAATTGTTTGGACCCTGATGAGGAGGAGGCTAATACCGCCTGGAGTCGGTGCCCAGATCGCCCTCGTGACCTCTTGGACCTTGTGCCGTTTGGGTCGTGAGGGCCCGGAGTGGAACCTACTGCTTGGGATTGTTCTGAGGACACCCGAGTAGGGGGCCCTGTTAAGAGGAAGGCTGATCCAGCCCATCGCTCATTAAACCCCAGTCCTACTGGGCGACGAGAGGGAAAAGTTCTTCGGGACTCGCGGCTTACCCCTAGGCAGCGGGGTCTCTTTTCTTGAGGTGTCACCCTTCTTGCAAGGGGAGTCTCGGATGGAGAAGCAACGAGACGAGGATTGGTTGATCCGCTTTACTGTTTTCCTGCATCAGGTGATGGGCCGCACCGCCCAAGGCATCAAGCAGCGGCTGTCAGGGATCCGGTACGCGCACATAGCAGCCGGCTACCAGGACCCCTTAACAGGCCGAGTCAGGCTTTGGGCAGCGCTCGCTGGGATGAACCACTGGGACGGGGCCCCAGTCCGTAATCCCCGTTACCCCTGGCATGTTCACTTGGTTGAAGCGGTATCTTGACGGGTCGGACCGCCCTCTCGCGGAACGGAAAGCTCTTTACCTCGATCTGCCTAGGTTGGTTCTTCATGCTGCGAGCTTCGGAGTACCTCCCCGGCTCGGATCTTTGCAATGTTCCCACTCGGGTCCTCCGAGGCAGCGACATTGACTTCTTCTGCAAGGGGCAACGCTGTTCCGTGTTTGAAGCTGACTCTGTTGCCGTGCAGCTAAGGGATTCTAAAGGGGACCAGTTCGGAAGGGGACAGGTTAGGCTCCAGCACGCCACTGGCGAGGACATCTGTCCTGTCCGGGCCTTGCAGGAACACGCTAAGCATAACCCTTTTTGGGTAAGCGACGTTAGTCTCCCTGTTTGCGCTTGGCAAGGCATAGGCATCTCACGAGAGGGTCTATCTGACCTACTAAGCTTAAGGCTGGCTGCTGCGGCGCTAGGCTATCCAGCGCATCTCGTCGCCTCCCACAGCCTGCGAAAAGGAGGCGCCACCGCCATGCTTGCCGTAACTAGCGACGTGGAAGTGGTTAAGAGGTTTGGAGGCTGGAAGTCTGATGCTGTACATGCCTATCTGTACACTGACCTTGCTGCTGCTCCCAGTCGGTCCAAAGACATGCTGGCGTCCCGCCCGGTGCTCCAACCGCAGCAGTATATGCACCCTAGCGGGCACTCTTGTATGAACGAGAGCTGGGGGCCCTTCCAGTGAAAGTGGTAGCGCGGAGGGCTCCGATGAGGGATTCGATGAAAATTGGGCCACTAGCCAAGCGCATCTTGAGCACCTCGAAAGAACCACCGGACTCACCTTCATTCAAAGAGTCAGGCTCCGTAGGCAATTGGAAGCAGGCGGAATTGTTGATCCCCCACCCTTCCTTTTTAGGTATGGAGGTACCCCCGAATGGCTCCTCCCTCCTCAAGCTGGGCCCAGTAGGACCTCTGAGAGTTCGTCGTCGGTCGCGTTGCATGAGAGCCAACAGCCTATTGCCCCGCAGAGACCTGGTTCACGTGTGTCTCCCGAGCTGCTTTCTTTGCTCCAGCAAGCGTTCCGCTCTCCCCGGCGCACCGCCTCTCCTTCTGCTCTCAGCATGGCCGAAGCTGCTCCGCCAACCGGTATGGGCAATCGCCAACTTCGAGAGTGGATCCAGGAATGGGGCAGTGCATGGGATTTCCTCGGCCTCGCCCCGGGCAGTGCTATGAGTGAGGTCCTCCGCGCCTCCAAACGCACGGCGATCCGCCTCCACCCGGACAAAAGTCTTTCAGATGAGGTGGAAATGGCTACAGTCCGCATGCAGGCGCTGGGCAATGCCAAGGAGATCCTCCTCAACCCGAGCCTCAGGATTCTCCATGACAATATCCTGGGCCTGGGAGTTGGTACTGGGGGGACGGGGGACCACCGTCCCCGTCGAACGCGGCATGAGATGGAGGGTCAAGCGGCACCGCCCCCCATCATGGATGGTGGAATCAGGCCTCCGCCAAAAGCCTCGCCACAGAGCTGGCTCTGCCAAGGGCAAGGACAAAGGTCGCTGGGGTACCCCCTTCTACGACACCAGCAGCGAGGAGTTTTCCAGTGGCGGTCCTGACACTGAGTCCTCTGGCCCGGAGATCGATAGGTACCCTCGCATCCGCTGTGGACGTGTGCTGAGGTGCTGCAAAAGGGGCCTCCCTACCGGTACCGCCGACAGCAAAAGGGGGCCTTTGGACTGACGAAGAACCTTTTCATGGACCTCATGCGAGTGGGGGCGCTCCGCCCCGGCCTAACCCCTGGGCACGGGCCAAGGAAGCGCCGCCTCCCCCCCCCGCCGAGCTCAAGTCAGTCTTTGGTTGTGGCTGCATTTTTTCAGCATCGGAAGCCCTACAAGGCCCCACCGAAGGCACGTCCCCGCCTCCACCTAAGAAGGCTGCTCCACCCCCAAAGCCGTCGCAAGCCCCTGGGGCCGAGGCTCCGCCCTCCCCACCAAGGCGCCGCCGCCCTCCACGTTTGACAACACGATGCGGTGGATCTGTGGAGGCTGTGGAGAACCTAATGGGCTTCATCGGTATGGCTGCAATGGGTGCCGTCGCTCTCGACACGCTGCAGGAGAGGGCGACACACTGGATATGCCCCGACTGCCAGGATGAGACGACCATCCAGTGTTCTGGATGTGGATGCTGGCGGCCAAGACATGGGTCTCTCATCAATAACGGCCCTGCCCCCCACCAACCTGCTGGTGCACCCGAGGGCGTCCACAGCCCCTGTTGTGCTCAATCGCCGGGCACAGCGGAAAGGCATCCGCCAAAGGCCAGGGGCCCCACAGAGGAAAGCCGTCCTATGGCGATTGTGGCACCGAACGGAGAGGCCCTGTGGTTCTCACTGTGCGCGAGCTTGACGAGTCGACCCCAGACTGGCTCTGCCTTGGACCATCTTGGTCATGTGCCGCAGGGCCCTATGCGGGTTGCAGTCATGGGGGCGCGTGGGAGTGATCTTCATCCGTCGAGTGGCACAAGATATCCTGCACTGGGCGCACCGCCGAGGCCACATGTCCCGGATCCATCTTGCACATCGGGACAATCCATGCTTTATGGACCTACAGGAGGCACATCCGGAACCTCAAGGCGATCTACCGCCCCTCAGCCCTGCGACCGGAGACCATCGCCCCCTGTTCACCTTTCAGGACTTCCTGACAAACCCCAGCTTGGTCAACATTACACGGGGAATGAGGGGCCACCTCGCCCAGGCCGTGCCGCCCTTACCCGGCCCCGCTCCGCCTGCTCCCGCTTGCAGAGACCTATGCGGAAGCGGACCAAGCCCAGAATGTTATGGGCCGGTGGGCTATGCAGATCTTGGGCAATGGGCCGGCAGTTCCGCCAGATGAGGGCGTACCGCCTGCAGATGGCAGTAAGGGTGCCTCCGCCCCGAGTTCGACGCCGAGTGGCAAAGGCTCCGGGAACGCTGGCAAGAGAGCCACGCACTGGTACTGCAAAAGGTGCTCCTATAGGGTGCCAATCACCCGCACGATTTGCACCATGTGCAACCGTGACAGGGAGCAATGCGTGGTATCTGATGACGAGGAACCGGAGGATGATGTCGTCCTCAACAAAGAGGAGCTCGAGGAAGTTGCCCGGCTCGAACGAGAATGCGCGGACCTGGAGCAAAGGATGAGAGGCCTCAACGCCGGCCAGCAGCGGGCACTCCTGGAAAACCTCGCGAACAGCTCGAGTGCCGTGATGGGAGGGCTTTTGGCCGATACCATCAGGCGCACCGCCCAGCTACGAGGCCAGAAGGGTAAAGGGGGGTCCAGCAATGTCAAGGTGAGGGCATCCAACGACACTGCTCGCAACGACCCCAAGTACCTGGCCGATTTGGAGGCAGGTGTATCCACGGCAGTGGCGTTTCAACGCCATCGCTCCCGACTTCGTGCCGTACAACACCAGGTGGCCCAGGGCAATGTGGCGTTACAGCCCCGTGCCACTCCCCTGCAGAGGGTGAGGGCGCTACCGCCCATGATGAGCTTGGGCCGCTCCCATCGCCTTCATCTCCTCAACAGATTGGAGAGACTTGAAAGGCGGGGAGTCACCTGGACCCAGGAGGAGGTGGGGGATTGCTAAACAATGGAGCAATTCCTCGATTACTTGGAGGCGAGAGTCAATGCGGATGCAGAGAGAGCGGAGCCCACAACCGCTTCCAAATCCGCAGGTGCTCCACCCCCCCCAGGTGTACCACCTCATACTGGCACTACAGCGAGCACCCCGTCGGGAACCTCTTCTGCACCATCGGGTACAACCGCGGACGGGCGGCCAGAACCTCCCCCACCTCGTTCCGATCAGCCGGAAGATCGAGAAGCTGGGCGGCCAGTGCCTCCGGACCAAGGTGACGATCAGCCGGGAGCCCAACCCTCAGCTCCTTCTACAACGCCTGAGGGAGGTGATGCTGCAGGTGACACCGCCCCAGCTGGGAACGATTTACCGGCTGATGATTCAGCACAAAGTTCCGCGGTGGACGGTTTTCATCTTTAAAGCTCTGCAGAGCTTTTCGGGTTATAAGCCCTGTGCACAGGCGTTCCGCCAGAATGGGAGCCAAAGGCTCCGATGTACAGTAGGCGGTGTGGCGATCCGCCCTGTTTCTTGCAAGTTGTTTGTGAGTGAGGCAAAGCCTCAGACAGCGGAAGACGACGGATGGGTCCGGAAACAGTCGGGTTTTCGTGCTGCCCCCCCTTGCCCTGTCTCTTAAGGAACCGAACTCCTGCATACACTCGCTGCAAAGTATTTAGATAAGGCGGCAGAGGCTTTTCCAATGCCCGAAGGGAGCGAACCGCCCCGACTATGGCGTGTTCGGCTTTAAACGAACAACACCTTCGGCTAACCGCTCTGTTGCCCGTTGCAGCGCAAAAGAGAGTGTATGCATAGGACGGTGCCTGCTCTTTTGGTACAGCAGAGTGTGAGCATGCAGAACTTGCTCGTTAGTGATAACATAGAGTTCTGCAAGTGAATGAGCCGATGTGTCTCAAGACTTTTCGGCTCAGTTGAAGTTTGGCCCTCCCGCCCTCCCTGGTCTTCGGGCCTTGGTGGCGGCAGAGGCTTTTCCAATGCCCGAAGGGAGCGAACCGCCCCGACTATGGCGTGTTCGACTTTAAACGAACAACACCTTCGGCTAGCCGCTCTGTTGCCCGTTGCAGCGCAAAAGAGAGTGTATGCATAGGACGGTGCCTGCTCTTTTGGTACAGCAGAGTGTGAGCATGCAGAACCGACCCACACACGGGACGCAACGGGGGAGGTTCCGATCAGGCTAGGAACCTTCGGCATGCATCAAACCTCCACGTGGTGCCCCCTGGAAACCCGCGCTCATTACCCATCGTGACCTGTCCCTCTCGACAGTGCCACGGTCCCATAGGCTCTTACGCTGGCGGTCTCGTCTCATTTCGTCTCTTTCGTTCGACGCTTCGTTAGCCTCTCCGTTTTCTCGACTCGTTTTGGATCGTGGTCAAGGTCCCTGACCAAAAGTGCGTGAATTTACGCTTTCTTCTCGATACACATTCATAACACGCACTCGCGCGGGGCTAACGTCATTCCCCACACGGGGCGCTCCCTTCGGGGAGGACGAGATGCAAACGGGCATGATGACATATCGCAAGTCAGGCGTTGGACCTATGTCCCCTCGGGGGCATTTGGTCTTCCTGTCTTGTGTCATCTTGTCCGGGGATGGCGGGTGGGCGCCGACATTCCAATTAATCTGGTGGGTTTAACCCGGCTCGGCTTTTTTCACGCCTGACAGAACTCGCACAAGTTGCTTACGCATCTGCTCACAGGGCTCAAACGGACAGGAGGCTACTAGCTTTTCACCCGTACACACCGGCTTTCCACGAAGGTTTCTCAGATCACACACGCGAAGGCACCAATCTAGCGACACACGTGCCACACACCACACGATGGCTGGCTCCGTTTTGCCTGTTTTCTTACGTGTTTCTCGCTGAAACACACACACACACACACAGAGTGCAAGCGTCCTCTGGCGCAAGCACAAGGGTCCTCTGGCGCCACTCGAGCCCGCGTCCTCTGGCGCTCAAAGGGCCATCGTACGTGTCAGACATGTTTTCTGTGTTCTCGTTCCCCGTGTTCTCGCCGGTCGCAACTGTCCTTTACGATGTTCCTTGCTACGTCATGTTACGGTACACCTTCACCCATCACACCGTGACAACACAACAATACTGACGCCTTCTGGCGCATGCTTGGCCCGCGTCTTCTGACGTTGTCAGGGTCGGTCGTCGTCACCGCTGTCTCTCGATCATTCAGTCTAGATGCCCCTTTCATTGGGCTTCCTCCATCGTCTCACGTCCCGCCCTTCGCTTTGCCCCCCTCGACCCGCCCCAGCTCCTCCGCTTTCCTCTTTTCTTCCAGAACCGGGCTCCGACCCCTTACTGTGCAGTTCTCCAAGGTGTGAACACTTACACTTGTGATCAGACACGTCATCACTACACGTACAGCCGGTAGCTTTGCTAAGACATGTATAGCCTAACTGTTAAAAGCCCTGCATGCAAGATCGACGCGCGAGTTGACCCGGTGCTGTCACCTGACGGCGCTGTTATGGGTCTACAGCAGCAGCAGCAGCAGCAGCATCCAAGATGCCATCTCTTTCCAAAAAGTTGGGATTCAGCAAAGCACTTGAAGCCTGTTGGAGCCCGAGCTTCGCGGAGAAGGAACAACGGTACTGCGTCTATCATACAGTACCGTACGATACTGTCTATAGACGATATTGACATAACACAGTCTCGCAAACCACGGTGAACTTTGACATAGTCTGCATGAGCTCAGATTTCGAGGAAATTGGCTTAGACGAGGATCGCATCTACTCTGCGGAGTAACGATCAACTTTAAGATGCAAAGCTGCTCTTCCCACAGGCTCTATGTGACTATATGGTTTACACTATACCGTGTCCCAAAAGCCCCAATATAGGAGCCCCGTGGAAGTCAATGTGCAGAGCTCCACTGGGGATTCGAAGCTGCCTACACATCCAAGCTCCAACCCCTCAGCCCCCAAAGGGTCCTATGTATTGCGGGGAACCTTTCCCCAAACCATAATTGCAATCTCATACAAACCCTACATTCTACTGTTGATGATATAAATCCTGCATGACCCATAATAGGGAATATACCATAATTCCCATAGTTTAGGGTCCTTAAGGTAATGCAGGATTTATATCATCAACCGTACCATATATAGGATCCTTTGGGCCCACAGACCCCATGTCGATGCCTCATAGCCAGTCGGCGATGGACACCTGAGACACTTTGTTGGTAACTTTGCGTTTACGCTTTCCGTGGTGATACGGGGTGTATGAGGCTGTCTGTGGTGCCCCAAAGTTTCACATCATTTTATTCCCTATGGAGCTTTCTATGGTTTCCAGAGCTCTATAAGTTGTTCTTTTGCGGTGCTTCCTATGGTTTCGAAGGTGTCGCAGGTTTTTTCTGTTTTTTCTGTGGGGTGCTCTATGGTCGTCCAAGGGTTTCTTTTGCGTTTAGAAGTTAAAGCGATAAAAGCTTGACAAAATGGTGGCATATGTTGTAAACAATGCTTTTGAGGAACCAGGGGTATTCGGGTGGCTTAAAGGTTTGAGGTCTACCTGGACCCTGAAGAACCTACCTTTTTAAGGACGTATATACGCCACCACAAGGTGGCTGGGACCCTAAACCTTAAACCCTAAACCCTTAAGCCCCTGAACCCTAAACCCCTAAACCCCTAAGCCCGTAATAAGCAACCCTGTTTAAGGTATACTTCGAAGATCGCGGACGTATATAGGGTACCTTGACGGGCTCCTTTAGAATGTGTCTTCCATAAGGGCCGTGTTCACTTTCGCAGGGTTTATGCTATATAGCGGTTTAAACAGGGGTTTAGGAGTTTAGGGTGTATAGGGTGTGGGATTGAAGGTGGAGGTGCACGGCGATGCTCCTAATCCCCAAACTACGGTACCAGCATGCCTCCAACATACAAGTTGAATACGGAAGCCTACATAGCAAGATCCGTATTGGAGGTATCTTGCCCCTGGGAAAGGGACTCCCAGCTATCTGGGGCATCTACCTGATCCCCCGAGAAACTCCCTATACAGATCCTTTGCGATTCCTTTAATTGCCAAGAACAGAACCCGCAAAGATGTAAACAACCTAGACGGTATACACTCAGAAGAGTGATGGGCATAGACGGTTTGTTAAGAGGCACTATAGGGAACGCATGTAACGGGCATGTCCTGCTTTGGTTGCCCTGAGGTCCCTGTGCTCAGATAGTATTTACCCTTGCCCTACTGCAGTACCTAAGTAGAGCCTGCTTTAAGGCGAAAGCATATGCTATCGGGGTACATGGACCCTTACACCCTAAACCGTTAAAGGAAACCCTTAAGGGGACCCTCAAACCAACCCTTAAAGGACCCTATTTGGGTAAATGGACCGCCCTCTGGGGTTTCAAGTTTCGGGATTCGGGGCTTTAGGCTTTAGGGTTTAGGGTTTAGGCTTTACGGCATTTAGGAAACCCTTATGGTTCAAGTACCCAAGAATCAAGACACCCCGGAATAGTGACCTGCCTAACTAATGTAAGCCCAAGTACCAAGTTTTGGGTCCTTTCGACCCCTAGGGAAGTTTGCAAAATTGAGATATCGAGCCAGTCGCAATCGAACCGTAAGTACAAAAGCTGGACAAAGATCTGCGGTCGTCGAAAGTGCATTCCCCAAAAACTCTAGGTACTGCTTATGGGGAATACTTCCCCACATCATAAAAGTAATTCCAAATATCCGAATATGTAAAAACCCACATTCTCCGAAATAGGTACTTACTATAGGAACCCTTCGAGGAACCCTAAACCCTTAATGGAACCCCTAAAGAACCTACATTCTACCCTAAACAGGTACTTTAGACCCTTTGGCACGCTCGAGGTGCTTGCCGATCGAAGCGCTCACCAAGACCGAAGTCGCCACAGTGCAGATCAGAGCTCTGCGCGTAACATTGCGGGCCTGCATGATGCAACACGTGAGGAGCAGGGGGGTTAAGGTTTAGGGACTTAGGGGTTAGGGCTTTAGGGTTTTAGGGTTTGAGGGTTTGAGGGTTTAGGGATTTAGGGCTTCAGGGTTTGGGGTACGGTTGAGCGCTACAGTCGACCCTTCGGCTTGGTCAAGTGGCATCTTGAAGCGGTTGAGGCTCCTCCAGCCCTTGCCGAAACTGTGACTGTAGATGACCCAGAGGGTTCTAAGTACCTGCATACCCGCAGACAGTAGGCTCCCTAAAACAGAAACAAAAAAGAAGCGATCATTCTAGAACCCTTGAAGGAACCCCATAAAAGAACCCCGGAACGCCTTACAGGAACCCTTCAGGCACGGATCCTGTGGGAGATTTGCCCTGGCATTGCCTTGCTTCGGCGGCTTCGCCACAGCATCCGAGAGAAAAAACACCTCGTGTGCAAAGAAGGAAACCATCTAAGATGCTGTTCCGGGGGCGTTCATCAAGATGTCTGAGGGTGGTGTTTTAGGGTTTAGGGTTTAGGGGTCTTGGTGGTGTTGGCGGTCTTGGCAATGACGGTGGCGGGGACGTCGGTCAAAGGGGTCCGGACTGTAAGAAGCTTTACACCGGATGAGGAGTACAGTAAAAGCCAGAAAGTTGGAATATGATTATCGTAGCCCCTTTAAGGTAAATTATAGGGGATCCTACCATGAAACCATATTCCAACTTTCTGGAGTTCCCTTTACTTCGAAAGCCTACACCCTAAACCCTGATCAAGTCAGCTTAGGAAACCTTTGAAAACCTAATGATGGCCCTGCTGCTGCTACTACTACTACTACTACTACTACTACTACTACTACTCCT